CATCTGCACTGCTCGACATTTATATCTCCAGACGTTCGACGCGTAGTCCATCCTTGGTGCCACAGCTGAGACGAAAAGCTGTCTGGCTGTCGCTGGGGACAGACCTTTGAGCCGTCTGAGCCTCAGCACGGCCTCCAGCCCTTTTGTCGTTGCGTCTGTGATGTGCTGTTCGAAGCGAAGCTTTGTTTCTATCGTCACCCCTAGTACTTTGATGTGATCCTTTTGTTGGACACTGTCGCCTTTGATGACGAAGCTGGTTGAGTCTGCTGGCAACATATAGTTGCGTGTGAAGGGGATGATGGCTGTCTTGTCTGTCTCGAACGTCGCCCTGCTTCGCTGCTCTCACTTGAGTACTCTGTTGATAATATCTTGAATGCCCTGACGGTTTTCTTCTCGCGATCGGTCGGTGACCAATGTCGTGCAGTCGTCGATAAAGGCCAGCGCTCCTCCGTTCTCGTCGATCTGGTGTTGTACGAGGTTAACGTTAAAGAAGAGGAAGAGCACTAGTGATAGTAGCAAGCCCTGAGGCAGCCAGGCTTATGGTAGTGGACAAGCCTCGGACTCATGGCTGTTGACCAGGATGCTTGCCGTCCTATAGGAGCAGAAGGCGTCAACTCACCTCACCAGCTTCTCTGGGATACTCCGTGCCTTGAGTCGTTGAAGTCGTCTCTTCTTGTACACCCCATTATATGACCACAAAGTTCTCGTCTTAAAAAACAAGACTCACAACCGTCCTCTTTTTCCACGCCCTGTCAATACACTCCTGCAGCATTACCAGCGCCTGCTCTGCTGACCTCTGCTTGCGAGCGCTAAAGTGGCTGGTGGAAAGAAGGCCGAACGTCTCAACAGCATACGAAATGCGCTCCGCCAGGACCGACTCGAGCACTTTCCTTGGTGCAGACAGAAGCGACATCGGTCGCTAGGCCTTTGCTATGCCGTAGTCGCCCTTGTTCGGTTTCCCAACGGGATGATCTTAGCGTGTCCCTACTGCTGAGGCAGCGTCCCTTCATCTAGTGAGGCTTGGAAGAGTGAGAGGACCCTATACTTTACCGCCGGCCATTTGGATTCCACATTCCTACCGGAAAACCATCTTCTCTGGGGGCTTTCCATGACTTTGCTGCAAAGAGCTGTCGCTCTATTTCTCCCAACCTGAGGACTGGAAAAGGCACTGGCGATCTCTGCGGTTACTCTCCTTCATCCTTGATGTTGTTCGGAAGATGGGGGAAGAATGTGGAGAGTAGCTCTTCGGCCTGTTATACGGCGTCTTTCACCTGGGGGCCATCACTCTCTTTAGCTGTGGAATCTTGTCGAAAGATGCCCCTTTGCTGGCGTTGAGGTACTTCGCGGCCTTATAGATATTGGAGTTGTAGGCTAAAAAGTCCTTGTAATGGATTTTCTTCTGCTGTTGGATAGCATTGTGATATTGTTTTGCTGCTGTGCGTGCTCGTTCTTCAAGTTCCCGCCGTCTGTTGTCTGCTCTTCTCTCCCCCCTTGTCTGGTTTCTCTAGTGGGTGTGGATCTGCTGGAGCTGGGTCAGGTCGGCCGTCTACTATCTCTTGCCGTATTGAGATGGCTTGGTTTTTGGTGTTAGTGCCTCTACTGCCTCGCACACAGCCGAAATTAGTCGACCCGCCTGCACTTGCACTGTGCCTCCAGATGGCGCCTACTGAAGACTCGCTTCTATTCTCTTGTTGATCTGCCTCCATGGCGCATTCTTGAGTAGCAGTTAGGGATGGCTTTCCGTCTCGGGTGCCGTAATGTTAATAATTGTCTTAATCGATCGGTGATATGAGCTGTGGTCTGTCTGATGTATTCCATATTGTACTACTGTCTTGACCGTCTCCTCTGATGCAACAGACAGGTTAATCGTTGTTGCTGTCTCGTTCTTCTCTCACGTCTCCCTGTCCTGTGGGAGCAGGCTGCGAAGCGAGTACACGCTCATCAGATCGATGATCGGATTTAGCCTCGCCTTGCCGGTCCTCCGACACACCAACTTCTCCCCATAGGTAGTCGTGCCGGTTGAAGTCACCTACTAGGACCACGTCTACCCTTTATCTGTTCCTCCTCGTATATTCCTGATGGCTTGCCTTAGCAGGTCGCACGCCTGCTGAAGCATCTCTGGATTCTGCACTGGCATAAATACCGATGTTATCAGCAGTCTTCGATCTGGAAGCTGGACGATGGCTGCCGTGGTGTCAGGTGATGCTATTGGCACCTGTTTCGCCTCTGCTTCTCTGTTCACCTACAGCAAACTGCTGATCCCCTATCTCCCTTCTTCTCTCCACGCTGTTGGTACCACCCTCATCCACCTGCTATGTCCCATTAGGACCGTAATGACCTTACCTTCTCTCTCCCATACTCACGGCTCCTGCATTAATATGGCTGTGAAGTCGCGCAACGCCTCGTCGTTCATCAAACTCTCGTAGACTGCAGCCTGTATCCTCACGTTGAGCTGAAGGATCTGGACCTCTCAACTCATGGCAACGTGGAAACAGCTTCGGGCAGTTCCTGCTGAACGACTCATGCGGTCCACCACAGGACACGCATTTCACAATCTTCTCACGGCATTCGCTGTGGTGGTGGCCTTCCTTGCCACAGCGTCCACACACTTAGGGCTTTACGCACTGGTATGCCTTGTGCCTGGTAATCTACTGACAGTTGTACCACTATTGAGGACGTGGTAGCCTCTCAAACGCCATTGCTGTGACAGACTCCCCTCTAACAACGTGGAAGAAGCCCTCGGAAATCAGTCTACGCGCATCACTGGCCTTGTAAGCCTTGGGTATGTCTTTCTTGCTCAGCCAGGATAACTTGGCCACCATGATCTCGTTTTCTCGGCTAACTGCCTCTGCCGCCTCAGCCCTGATATTGCCCTTCTCGTCCAGTACCTCAGTTCGCTTCACAATGTCGACCTCCACGGGATAGAGCTCGTCTCGTAGCACGCGTGTCCCATGGCCGAAGCTCTTCTACGCGATCTGCTTGACAAGCTTATGCTCAGCTTCATCGCAACAAATGATCCGGATCATATCCGCGTTCCTTGGGTCTTCTGTGATAGCCCTACAGACGTTCGCATATGAAACACTGGGGCTGTTCCGATTCGCAGGAACTGTCGCGAAGCCTATAGCTCGCTCTTAACTGATTACAGCTCCGCAGTGATCACGCGAGGCTCTGCCTCAACGTTCTTGTTCCATGTTTCAGAATTCTTCCACGCATCGAACATGATCTCCATTGCTGTACGCAGCTCTTTGATCTGCTTGCCCATGGTTAGGAGCACCCTTTCTTTGTTATCCTTAGCGGGATTTGCGCGCTCCTTGGCCAGGGGTGCGGCTTGGGTAGTGGTCGCCCGTCGGGTACCGGTAGCAATCTCGGTCGCTCCCTCGATCACATTGTCGGTTGTCTCTTGATACGTTTGGTTCAGTCGAGCTTTCGCGGATGGTCTTCGAACCCTTCGTGATAGCAGGTCCCCTTTCTTCCCTTCTAACTTTTCTTCTTCGCAGTTTGCCGCCTGGAGGCGCACCTTGATGACTGCCGTATGAGTCGTTCGCTGACTAACGCCGAAACAGAGCTGCGAAGGAACCGGGTCCGTCAGCAACGCGATGCGACCCATACAGCCTCTACGTCCAGCTCTCGCGGTGCCGTTCACTCAAAGGGATCACTCTCAAGTCACCCGCCAGGAGAGCAGGCTTCGTAAAAAACGTCGTGCCCTAAGAAATGCGATAGGTAGAGGAAAGGTTAGCGGTGCTTGGAAATCAAATAATTCAACGGGTACAGCAGTAAAAGTAGAATAAGAACAGAATAAAAGCAGAAGTCGAAATGCAAGCCGAAGTTAGCGGGCCTCGGGTGCCTCATATGACGGTTGAGGTAGATGATATAGAAGACTGGCGAAACTTTGCCGAAAGCCCGACCCACCGGGACAGCAGACTCCTCGGGATAACAGAGGTGGATCAAATTCACACGTCCCTGGTGACATCTGCTGCTGTAGCCAATCAACAGGCTGGCGACATCTCGAACAAGACGACGCAGCAGCTAATGGGAGGAGTAGGCCTGGGCACGCTCTCTAAGTTAAGAACACTCCAATATGTACCTTTCTACCACTACTTCATATTTGTGGTTGCCCACTTTTCAGCGACGTTCACTCTCCCCGAGACTGTTTCCGACGGGTTCTACGTGTCATGGGTCAACTTGCCCGGCCATGAGGTCCACGTCAAGTCCCCGGCCCTCGGCGCCCTGGACACCATTCTCCCCGCCGGAGATGAACCGTGGCAGCTCCAGGTCAAAGCCACGGCTGCCCGGCATCCTAAACGCGCCGGGACCACCTGGTGCGGCGGGCCTCAGGGAGATTACGTCGGCTTGTGGGTTGTACACCGCGGGGACTCTGGACTACGGCATCGGCGCTGACGTGGGATACATGATCTCGGCGCCGGGTCTGGACTTTTGCGGGGCCGCGCGGACATCATCGGCACGCCGGTGTCCACGTCGTCTAATTGACTGAGTAGAACCACGATTACATATCATGCATTCGTGCCCTACATGTACCATCTCGCCACATGTTGGGATACAAAACGGGATATTTGAGATCAGCAGCCATGAATGATGAGCGTTTAGGTATCTGTCAGCCGGTGATGGAATGTCGGGGTCATTGAGTCCAATCCGTGGTTAGTGGACTGGTTGACAACCTTGGTTTATTAAACTGTCAGCTTTTCCTGCCTTGAGCTTTAATACATAACTACATTCGTTCCTCTCTTGGAGCGATCCGGCAGCATTGTACCACGAGCGACCGAGCCTCCTCGTGATTCGCGACATTCTTTGCCTCTGGTAGCAATCAACGGTCTTCAATGCTTTTGATGGCTTTTCATTTTGTGCATTCGTAGAGCCTCTCTGTCAACCCCAACACAAGTCAAAAACACGCTTTATGATGTGTGATTTTGCCACGCACCCATCCTAGTCTATCAGAGCAGAATAAGTCGCAACAAGACTCCCAGTTCAACACCTTCCACCGTTCAGGTAATCGTAACAGCACCTGTCGTAGTGGTCAGAAGCGCATTGTTTGTCGGCACTGTGAAGATCAAGGTACTTGAGGCACCAGCGAAAAGCAGAGCCCTCAACGGCTCGTGCTCCTGGTATTGACGATACGCAACGAAGCCGAGTGAGACGAGCGTGGCCAGTTCCAGTGTGCGACCGGTAGCTGCGCCGCGGGTGTAGACTTTGTCCCGGGCGCGAAGGGCGTACTGCGGCCCCGGGCCGGTTGAGAGAGCTACCGGGACAGTGTGAAGGAACGTTGATCCAACCGTGTCTGAAAAGGGGAAGCGCGAGTTCAGAGAGTTGAGAGGGCGGGATTCTTACCGGCCCACCAGGCGCAGCCCAGAAATCCCGTTGCGGTTATGGCGGTGTTGAGTGTGTTGACATTTTGCTGGTTGTTGCGCAGCCGTCGACCCTTTGTTCCATAGTCTCCTTCTGTGGAGGGACAATACTGCTGTGTTGCTGTGGTGGTGATGATGCTGCTGGGAAGGAACTAGGCTGAGCTAGGTGGGCTGACGGAGACGGGAAGACCCCTGAGCCCGGGCGCAGGTGGGTGTCGCCGGGGACCCACACCTTCCGACTCGGCCCGTGTGGGGCCGCGGGTCTGGCCTGATTATTCTCGGACGGATATCTTGCGATGTTGCGAATTCAGCCGACCCACAAGAAATTCCGGGGGGCGGGTAGGACGGGCCGACAAATTCCATTTGGGATGGCAAACGAACCTTTTTTGGAAATGCTACTTTATTTTTCTCACTGTTAACTTGTGGCGTGGTTTCATCATTGCAGCGCATCCCTGTGCCCCAGCACCAGACGTTGACAACAATTGAGGCTCAGCGCGCAACTATCCCTTATTGAAGACACCAAATCATACACAACCAATCACAGCTCCTGTGAAGGCAGTGTTTCAATATTATGACGGATGTCGACGCTAAATCTCTCCTGCTCCAGGCGCTTGGCGGATGGGGTGTCGTTCAATAGGACAATTCAGACGATCCGGAGGCTGACAGCTAACACGCGGTCTGTTGTACGGAAATCTCCTGTATAGACTACTGAAACGTGAGTGAACTGATCTTTTGCAGCGTGGTCCGCAGCATGATCGCCGGAATCTCGCATGCCACAGTCGTTGGCGTGTTCGGCGCAATCGTCGGCAGCCTGGTATGGGGCACTACCTCCGTACCACTTATTGTCGCTTCGCTCGTTAGTTTCGCCCTGGGAAGCTGGAGGTGGTATCAAACTGCCATCAAGCAGGCCTTGATACAGCTGGAGCAGCATCCTCGACTGATACGCCACCACATGGAGTCGAACTTTCCCTGGCAGGCCGAGATTCAAGGAAGAGGCATAGAATTCTACAGGGTTAAAAGGTTCTCGTAGTCCTGGACGCTTCAGAGCAAGCTAGTGGCAACCTGGTTGTCTACGGAGTCGTCGCTGGGCGACTTGAGATCGCGGGCAGAGTCGAGGATCATTGAGGAGTACGCCGACGGGGACTGTTGAAATGAAGTACTGCTACCAAGGGTGCTCTTCACACAAGCACTTGAATAACAAAGAAGCTAGTCGCAATGAATGCGCATAATATAACGAGAAGATAAGACGGCATGTTAATCATCTTACTCGATGAGGAACCCGTGGAGCGGACAATTCGAGCCTGGCCCCACCTGTTCAATCTCGACGGCCCCACATTCGGAGAAGACGGACAAGTTCAGCGTTCCCAAACTCGACGAATTGAGCAAGTTCACGAACGGATGAACCCAATCCTTCCTTTAATCCAGCTATAGAAGTCGTGAATGGTTCCTGAATTATGCGCTGCAATAGCTTCTGTTTTCCGCTTCGTTAACACGGCGACACTGTCGCTGGGTTTGCAGGTAGATCCTGATGAATGGATACGCGTGCAGCGAGTCCCCCACCAAGACCCGCCTTTTACCAGTCTTGATTTCGCGTTCGGTGTGGCAGTGTGAGAGCAGCAGTAATTCAGGGAAGATTAAGATCGCGGGGGCGTTTCAAAGCGAAACCTTGTCCATCCCTCAGATCCGAAGGAGACGGGAAGTGCTTGTCGTGTCGTGAGTCCCTCATCCACCCCGATCCTCAAAAATGCCCGCAGAATCGGTTCTACGGAGTGGAGCGGGAGCGCTGTGTATCTTATCCATGCAGCGTGTGTTGCCAACTAATGTCAACAAACCTTGGCCGCTGTTGACATGCGGTGCCGTGTCACGATGCCGACATGAGCCGCTTCGTTTTTTAACACTGCCACATACGACCACACTTGTTAGAAAACTCGGGATCCTGTCCGCTCTCCCATAGATAGGTTAATGGGGGCTGGGGTTGTAGTTGGGTCGATGACTACCAGGAAGGTTGTATGTCTTTTTGTTGTTTTTGTTCTGTATCATCTCATGTAGCGTGATGCTGAACAACACCGGCCATCCTACCACCAGATGTTATATTACCCTCCAGAAGATTATTTTATCCTCACATCGCATAGGGCTTCCAAGAATGCTGTTCAAGTAAGCGTTTTCTGAGTCTTCCACTCGTGCTCTTCAGTGCTTCCATCTCTACCAAGGCTGGCGGACCAGGCTTCTCAGGGTGCTTTTTGTGAAAGTCATTCAGAGCACAATCACAGCCTCGCATACTCTCCTCAGGCTCCCATGTCGTCTCTTTATGACACTTCCACTTGGTATTGTGGGTCAAACTGTGCTGTGCAGCGTGCTTTTTGTGGACGTTCAAGATCTCCTCGAAGAGCCATCTTTCTTCGATTCAACCGTCGTCACCTCGGTGCGCAACACGGCCAGCGACACTGTGGGCTTTTTTTGTACTTTCCCGCTTGTCCTGGGATACCTTTCGGCAGCCACAAGCGTACTCTGGACGTGTGAAAAGATTTGTTAACCCTGATGTTGTCGGGTAAGTTAACAACAACAGCTCCCTTGTAGACGGCGAGGACTGGAAATGCTACGTCCTAATTGTCGTCCCGTTTCGTTTGGGGTCTGTTAGTTTGCATGTTTTTCAAGCTGATCATGACATGTCATCGACTTTGAAGAGGGAACTTTTGTCCCTCCTGGCATTAGCGCCGTCTTTGTGTCTCTGCTGTGAGATCCTGGCAATCGCTTTCAGCTGGGTCAGAATTCGGTCGAAGCGGCTAGCGACAGCATCGGCTCTCAGGAACTCTCTTCTCGCATTGGATGAGAGCGATGCTGAATAGGGTTCGGGTGGTTCGATGCCCAAACGCGGGTTTTATCTGTCATTCGCAAAAAAACGGTGAAACACCAGTGGTCTCGTTGACCTGATTGTTGTAGCAAACTCGGCAATAGAGAGCCAGTCAACCCAGTCATCCAGGGTGAAGCTGATGTAGCCGCGTAGATACTTGTTCATAGCGGCATTAACGATGTCAGTTTGGCCGTCTGTTTCTGGGTGTAACGCTCATCTTGGCCGAAGCGTTCGCCGTTGTCTTACGTCGTTGACTAATGCGGTGCCAAAAGTAGGAGGCGAAGGCTGAGCCACAATCAGACATCATGGTTTCCGGGGCTCCGTGAAGAATATAGATTGTCCGAATGAAAACTTTCACAAGCTCATCCATGTCCAGGCAAGCGACGGCAATGAAATTTTGTATTTTCGTCAATGTATCGACGACAGCAAGTACGTGCCGGTACAATTTGCCATTACGAGTGCACTCGGGAAGGTGTGCGACATGGTCAATAGAAATATCAACCCACGGGCGAGCCGGAAGTTCAAGTGGCTTCAGGACGCCGGGTGGAGCGGAGCGTGGCGTCTTGGTTCGAAACAGAGGGCGCAGGCTCGACCGAATTTAGTTGTGAACTGTAACATGCCGGGCCACCAGTATGTGCAGTTGAGCAAATCTGGTGTCTTAACAATCGGCCGGACCGGTGCTGTGCGTCCGGTGAACCACTTTCAGTCGTAGATATAGGGTATCAGGGACAAAAAGGCGATTTATGAAATAGACAAGGCCATCCACAACGATGCATTCTTACTTTTCGCATCGCAAGAGCTTGCGAATCGATTTTGGCCAACGCCTGGCGGTACGGTTTTCATCACGTCCGTCTTGTTCTCTCAGGGCGAGAATCATTTGCTGGGCCAGGCTGTCTTCCTTGTAGTTTGGCGGATGAGTTCGTCGATTGACTTCTGCTCGGGTGTGGGGTATATGGCGGTCATGAGTTCCAGATAATTCACTCCTGTCTGGACTGCTTCAGCGGACTGCTTGAGCATCTTCAAGTATAGCAGGGTCGATTTTCTTGGGTGGCAGCAGGACTTGTTCTCGGTGTTTCAATCGTTTGTCGTCGTCTGCAGAGGTTTGCAGTCCGGGAAACCGGCTGAGGGCGTCAGGGATCGTTGCTTTCGACACAGGGCGATAGGTGATGACGAAGTCGAACTGGGATAGACACTCAGCCCAGCGCACTTGTCGTTGATTGAGCTGCTTTGTCGTCATGAGGCTCCGCAAGTTCTTGTATCCGATGATCATGTCGAAAGTTTCCTCTGTGCCTTGAAGTCTTGGGCGCCATTCCTCAAGTGCTTTGACAATGGCCAAGAGCTCTTTGTCATGGATCTCGTAGTTGTACTCCGGGGCAGCATGCTTGGAGGAAAAGAAGGCAACAGGGCGCAGTTTCTAGCCGTCGTCCTTTTGTGAGAGTACACCTCCGGAGAACCAATTGGAGGCATCGGTCCCGAAAACGGTCTTCTTGGTATAGTCGTAGTAGGCCAAATCTGGAGCGGTGGCAAAGGCGTTTTTGGGTCTTTGGAATGCAGACGATTGCTTCCCGTTCCAATTCCACGGACACCTTTCTTCAGAAGGTGAGTTATTAGTCTAATAAGTAAGGAACATGCCTCGATAAAACGGCGGTAGAATTCTACAAAGCCTGAAAAGGCTGTAACTCTTTGACTGAAGTTGGGACTTTCCAGGCTCAAATAGCTTCAACCTTTTCAGGGTTCACCGTGATACCATCTATCAAAATGATTAGGCTGAGGTATTTAGTTCCTGTGGTATCAAACCCTGACTTGCCGATATCAATTTGAAGGCCTGATATACCCAGGCGTCGGATAAATTCGTTGACATAGCGTGTGCTCCTTCCGTGTCTTGGAGAAGACATGTAAGTCGCCCAGGTAGGCTGTGCAGTATACATCAAGGGCGTCGTGGAGCACGTGATTGATGTAATTCTGAATGGTCGCATGCGCGTTGCAGAGGCCGAACGGTGTTACAAGCATTTCTAAGAGTCCGGAACGGGTGATGAAGGCGTCATCGATTCATGGGCCTCGGCCACTCGGATTTCATTGAATGTGGCTATTGCGTCGAGTTTGGTGCAAAGTTTCGCGCCGTAAGGGGAATCAAGTGTGTCTCAGAGCGACCTATTCTTGATGGTCACCTCGTTCAAGTCGCGATAGTCATGACAAATTCTCACTCCGCCGCCTGGTTTCGCGGCAAGCACCAGTGGCGCTGCGGCTGGGGAGGATGATTCGCGGATTAAACCCTTGTCGAGCATCTCGTCGATCCATTTCTCGATGCACGGTAGCCCTGCAGGCGAGAAAAATCGATTCCTGTGGTGCGACGGTTGTTTTACGGGCATGACCTCGATCTCATGCTCTCAGGGGCGATGTGGCGGCAAAGATTCGACATTCTTGGTCAGAAAGTGTTCAACATAGAAAGCAACTCGGGGGGTAGTTTCTTCAACACATCTTCCGGTGTAACTGGTGCTTTATCCTCGAGGAACTTCTGTACGCCTTCGTTGACAATTTCCCGCCGGGGTAGCTCAAAGTTCTGTCCTAGGTTGTGTTCCAAAAAGTCGTGAAAGTATTCTGGGAAGACCTTCGACGCCTCTGTGATAGTGTAGTTTCCCTCACCCAGGCGGCAGTAAGAGTCTTCTGAGAGCGGCGGGAGCACGATGGGCGCCATTGATAGTTCCTCGCACAACAGGCGGTTTTACTCTGCCATCTGTATCCCCATCACGCGGACGCCCTTTTGTTTGCAAAAATGGGCAAATTCCACGCCGCGGACGCAACGGATATCGTCCATATCTGGGAACTCGATTGACTGCGCGAGGTCTGGGCTAGCACGCATTGGTCTATTACGAAGAGCGGGCAAAAGTCGTTGGCCGTGGAGGATACGTGCGGGTGTTGGGTGAGAGGTTGGACGAGCTGGTAAGGCCGTCTGGGCTGCCCTGGTTTCTGGGCCGGTGGGTCAGATAGCTCTTGTCTTCCGCGCGCATGACCGAGCGAATGGAAGCAAGCGGTGTAATGGATGGCGTGCTGGTCCATCACGTATCGAGATTGGTGCAATGGTGTTTGGGGACAGTGGCGGTGACGGGGATGGTGTGCTTGGGATAATGGATTCTAAAGGTTCAAAGAACCGTACTTACCCCGTCGGTCGCGTATAGATTGTCCAATCTTCCACAGCTCCTGTTGTCTGGGGTGCGTTGGGGTGGTCATCGATATCATCTGTGTCGTCCGCGCCTTTAAGAGCAGGTTGACGATGGCGGAGGCGAGGGGTAAGCAGACTACCAGTAGGCGCACAGTAGGATACTGGTCGCACATCCTGTGGCAGGCAGTGACAGTTGCAAAACGTGCAGTTGAAAATGACGCCAAGGTGACGGAAGTCTAGGACAGGATTATGTTTTCGAAGCCAAGGGAGGCCGAGGATGATAGGTGTGTTTTGGGAGAGTTTTGTGATGAAGAATAATGAGAGTTCTGTAAATGGCCACCCGGGACACAAAGCAGTGTGTAACAACGTAGTGTGTAACATAGCTGGATAGCACGCCATCTGCAAGGCGCAGTGGTTTCGGGCGTGGGAGCAGCTTTGTCTTTGCGCCATATCGACGTGCAATGTTGTCGTCGTCGGCAAACGCACATGCTGCACAGCCAGTGTCAACAAGGTTAATAGTTTCAGCGGTGGAGGTAGGAGACGGTGTGCGCGATGAGGAGAGAGAGGTATGGAGCAAGATAGAATTCTTATCGTTGGTACCATTTGCGGACCGCAGGTCAAGGAACCGCTGTCCTAGCACCAGCGGTGTGGGATCGAGTATCATAGCCCTGATTGCCTCGTCATCTTGCTCGCAGGCATTTGACCTTTGCACGCGGCTCAATGCAAAGGTGTGTTTTTTAACCAGGAGCTCGGGGTGGAGTCATGACTTTGGTCCAGGGGCCTAGCTACCAGTTTCTGCTTCGGTGGGCGGATTTGATATGATTTCTCCCAGGATTTAGCCGCGTTCGAAATCAGTGGAACTTGACTGGTGTTACCTTTGGTACTGGGCCCAATGTTGAGAACGGAATTCGGTGCGCTGCTGACCATAACAGCCGCCGCGGGTGGGAAGAGTGCCAGGGAAGGCAACTGGCATGTTGCCCGGCATGTTGAGACCATAGAAAACAGGGGTCATGCCGCGGCCCCGATCACCTCTGTGAGCATGAAGGTGATCAGGACGAGGGGGCATGGGCAGCGCGTTGGGTTTGGCAGCGACATCTTCTATTCTTCAAGTCGATCGGTAAGTTACTTCATACCAGTCATGACCTCCCAGAGTGGACCGTGGCCATCCTTCTTACCCCAAACCTGGCACCGCATGGTCTGCTCATAGAAAGGCTTGACTTCGATGAGCAGGTGCCAGTCGTCGTCAGTGGCGTTATCCTCATCTCGGATCCGGTCTTGGGCTGCACTTCGCGCATTGCGTCGGAGTTATATGCTTTTCTGTCACATTGGTCGCCAATATAGATAGCTTGGGAGTTTCGAAGTACTCAAAGTCGCGCTTGCGAATGCTGATCATTTTGTTTTCCTAGGTCTCGTACATAAGCTGAATTTTGTGAGGGGCTCCTTCATCTGCTGTGAACTTTTTCGTGGGATCCTGAGACGGTCATTTCTGGACTTCTGTCTTTGAAGTATTCTTCGTGAGTTTGTTGAAAATGTCTGCCACGTTCTTGGTCAACGCGAGCTATTCTCGGGGTCGTGCATTGTCATTTTGAAGGTGGGTGCGTTCTTCCACTATCTGAGCAAGGTTCGAATCAACCGAGTGTAGGATCCAGCTCTAGGCGATTAAGGCACCATAAATTGTTATAACCGGGTGGGTGGTCTTTGGGGACGTCGGTAGCGAGTCGAATCCAGACCGCAACGTAGGGACAACGACTCTGAGTCTCCATAAGTCGCGGGAGGGTTTCGCGAGTATCGGCCCTGGGAGCATGGCCGTCTCATCGGTCGTCATTGTGGTATGAAGGTCCAAAATATCGAGGTTCACGTCATCGAGTGTCGTGGGATCGTGGGTTCTAGGAGTCGTGACAGAGGTTGATGCCACCCAGAAGGCGCGGTACAAGGAGGTTGTAACTTCCAATGCGACAGAGCACATGGAGCAGTTTGTCCCCCCCAGATTGGCTCGTGGATAGAGCGGTGCTGTTCCTCGGCGGCCGCGGTATAGGCTCCAATATGAGCCCTTCAAACCTTCAAGGTACACCAGTTTGGTGAAAATGATTGACGACGGGTAGACAGATAACGATATCCCCTGTCCGCGAGTCTTCGGCCGAATCCAAGGTAACCATGTCCGTCCATTAGGTTTCTGAGGGCTTGGTCCACTGATTTTCTGAAGGGATCCGACCGGAACATCGAAGTGACGATTTTCCAATCTTCTGCTCTTTCGAATGTTGGAAGTTGAATCATCTCTTCGGCTCTGCTCGGTGTCTGCGAGATCATGTGCTTCACGCGGCCCTCGTCAGTGGTATTCTTGTTAGAAAACGCCACCTTGAGAACTCCTTCTAGCACCAACCCGACGATTTCTGCCATTCCAAGCCTGTTTGTGCCTCCAAGGTCAGAGATGCTGAGACAGATGACCTTCAACAGCCCCGTTCCGTGCGGATATCAGTTCCCGAACGATATTGGAGTGGTCAAAGTCATCCACGACCAAGACGGTGTTAGATAATTAAATAGCCGCCCTTGAACCTTTTTTAGGGGAGACCAGAGCAGAACCTAGAGTCTCGTCTATCCATACACCAGAGGCTTGTTTGGTGCCTCTCGCTTCTCCAGTAACTGATTAGGCAGGCCTGAAAACACCACCTCCCCGTCGCTGGGGAATGTGAGCCGGGCTTTGGAGTACTGTTGAACGGTTTCCGATCACTCGGCCTCAAAGGGCTTGCTATCGGCGCTCTCGAGGAGCAGGTTTCAAAAACGTCTTCGGTCGCGGATAAAATGCTACCAATTTAGTCGGCCTGCGACAGGATGCCTTTGGGAAACGACTCGCAGAGTTCATGCTGGCCGCATCCCCATGGTATCTGGGTTTGGCAGAAAAAGAGCGTCCACGGATGGGGAAGCCGCTCTTGGAAGACCCAAGCACATTGATGCAGGGGGGTTTCTGGAATGTCCCGGTTTCATCTGTCTTCCAGCTTTTCCCTATGGATGGGGAACGGTGGCGCGTTGGTGTCCATCGAGTACGGAGACGGTACAACGCACGGCAAGACGGTCCAAGGGTTTCTGTCCGAGAAGGAGCCGCCAAGCCCGTCCGCGGCATGGCTGGCAGAAATCGTGCAGACTGACAGGCTATACACCTTGCTCATTATCGAGGCCTCTCGTCGCAAGTCGTCTTCGTCGTGCTAAATGATGTAGATGCCACAGATATCGAACGCCGAGCTTCTTGGTGATGACGAATGCGTCGGAAAAGGTTCGCGAAAGATCCGAAAGTGGGATCTCGTGCATAAACTATGCCATGTGTGCCGTGTTGCTCCCCAGGAGAATGCATGGGTGCATCGTGCCCCAGCAATAACTGAGCGTCATCCACTGAGTGGGGCGCTGTAGGTACTGCGTTGAAATAAGCCTGGGCGCGTGGGAAGGAGACTCTCCTAGGTCAATCAGACGTGTGGAGGCTCGGCTGTCGCCGTTCGGCATTGAGCAGCTGTGTGATGCCAGACAGTGGGCGGGAGACTTTCGGGCGAGGCTGATAGCTTGGTCCAAACCAGTACTGATGTTTTAAGACAGTTCTGACTGCTCTCTTGGGATCGAAGCAACGAATTCATCTGGGACTTGAGTTAGCCTTCCATGTACGGCAGTCAAAATCACCCTTCAGGTACGTCACAGGCCTGTTGTTTCTTCAACGTTGAAGAAAACGGTCAGCATTGTGTTGTGACGTTTTTCGTTCTATCTCCACACGCCCATGGTGGTATACCCTTTCGTTCCGCTGGCGAAGCCACACCGAAGCTCGATACTGTCTTGTGGTTGTAAATTATCCCAGTCCAGCCACGTGATCTTCCCTTCCCCCCAAAGTTCAAGCGGCGAAGCCAGATGAGACTGCACAGGCCACAAACATTACGGTTGCCCCTCTCAAGGCTCGCTTTTGTATGTGGAAGCCGGTAGCCATCTTCCTTTCTCGGACCAGAGCCTGTAAGAGATGAGTAGGTGTGCAGCTGTTTGGCGTGTGCTACCCGAGCTTGCGATCGGAAGAACCGAAGTGGATTACAGGGCGCCAGAGGCCAACCAATCGAGCCTTGGCATAATTGCGACTCACTGTGGGTTTGATCAGGTAAGCTATAGGCCTGAAAGAACGGAGGCACCGCAGCTATACAATAGCTGTCTAAAACGCTGATCATAAGGGGACGTATTGAGGTATGTAAAGGAGGGGAATGTCAGCATGCCTTGATGAAGAGGATGCCTAGATGAAGAGGCCCCCGAGTGCGGGTCTTTTAGGATCAATCACAGGAGCCGCCGTGGCTAGACCGGATTTACGGCCGAATATTCTTCCAAAAAATGGCACATGCACATGTGGGATTTGGCAATGCATGTCAGCAGAAACGTGACTCTTGACTTCCTCCAGTTAGAATCGGCTGTATCACCAGTGGAGCTGCACTAACCACACCAACGTGTATAGTAGGCGGAGCGGCACTTCTGGACTCAGGACTCGGCCGTTCTTTGACTGAAGAGAAGGTCAAGAAGAGAGACGCAGCGGTGAAGATGATGCTGGCAGGCAAGGACGGACCTGGAAGTCATTCCAATTGAGTAACTCACTTAGCGGGGGAGGAAGGGTTCCAATAAGTTACCCTAAAAATTAGAACCAGTCTTTGCTCGAGATGAGTGAGCACACTTCTCATCGACATCATTATCGTACATTTTAAGCAGGTCAGTAGTCGGGATGTCCTTGAACTTCCTGATGGGTTCCCTGCTCGCGAACAGTTGATGCACTTCCTCCGGGCTCCTCCCCTTCAGCTCAGAGATGAAGAAGTTGACCAAGATTGTCATCGCAACATTTATAGAGCCGTAACGAACCCGAGCTTGGCCCTAAGGTTGGCGTATTCGGTGTTCATCAAGTAGGGAACGGCGAATGGCGTGACCAATGTCGTCAACATAGAAACGACGCAGGCGAAAAGACTAGCTTTAAAGCCAAGGGCGGTTGTCTCAGAAAATACATCATAGGAGCTACGGAACTGTCAGCAGAACGTAGTAGAGCAGCAGGAGTAATTGGGATTCTGCTAGTTGGGCATACTTACACCGGTGCCCAGGATAGGCTGAAGAAGAATGCAAACAGCATCAAGCAGGCAGCAACTAACCCCTTCCGAGATTTCGTGTAAGACTTCAGGGTTCCCATTTCCCAATTTCGCCGAGCAGGAAGAGTCATAAAGCCATGAAGAAGCTACCGAACAGGAAAACAGGCCGTCGGCCGATACAGTGGATATACAGCTAACAAACATAATCCCGACAAGACTGATGTAGGAGGATGTCATGTTGGATGTGAACGCCTGATCCCCGAAACCTTGCGATTGGTAAAATATGACGTTGTACTGGCTCGTAAATGTCTGGCCGGTGATTTGTTGGCCGAACATGGTCAATACAGAAACAGCCATGCGGCGATGAAAAGTGTCGAACATCAGCAAAACGGCGAGTAGCATGTGAACGGAGAGATAGGACCTACGCTATTGCTCTCAGCAAACAACTCAGCCCAAGACCCCTTGCTCGTTCTAGTGAGCATGGACCAAGGCCTGCAAGTCCCTCTCATATTCGGCCGCGGGCAACCTCTTTACGAAGCTTCCGCAAGTCTTTTGCGACCTCCTCGCGCCTTTCGCAGCTGAGCGGCTAGCGAGGCGACTCAGGCAGGAGCGGGGAAGAATGTCAGGATGATGGCGGGGATGGGGAGTTGTAGGCCGATCGGTATCAGCCAAACAGCATTCCCGTCAATGGGTTTCGTACCGAGTATCACAACGCTTGCAATGAGCGTAGAGAGAGCGATTTTGAGCTCAATCGTCGAGGCAAACATCCCTCGGGGGGAACCGGGCGCGGTGTCGGCTTGGTAGATGGGTATGACGACAATTGCCCTGCCGATCATGCCGAAAGTGACACGCGACCGATCGTGAACATGGCCCTGTGTACAGCGGGGGTTTGAAGTGTGACGCCGCTGTCGATGTAGAGGTCAGTGTTGCCTCAGAGTATAATGGGATCATCGTCGGTCGCGTCAGGGTAATAGGGACCAGGTGAGGCACGCGTGCAAGATCGCCGTTACGCATAGCACTATGATAGCGGCACGACGGCCCCATTTCTCTGCGATCCAGGCACAGCAGATGCAATCCTGAAGGTGTCATGTTGGTCCGCCCCGCTCACTTGGCCAAACCGCCGAATGGAGGGAGTTGTTGGGTCGTGTTTGGTTTTCAGGGAATGCGTTCAATTGCTTTACCGAGAAACGGTGTGGGGGCCATGATCGACAACGACCAACCGGGGAGCGAGTATTTGTCTGTCTGGTCGTTGAACTCGCCGAATCGTCTCCTAAAGGACTGCATGGCCTGCACCTCGGAGAAAGTGCCGACATCGTAGCCGAAGTTGAGAGCACATAAGCTCACGTAGCTGACAAATGCAATTCCACATTATCAGGTGGTCGTCGACCGGAGAGAATCACAGGAGGCTTTACAAGATAATGAAGACCAGCCTGCCATTGAACAAATTCAAGCGTTGAGACAAGAATAGCTAGCCCTGATTCGGGGCAGGCTTTGCGGTACTATTAGCCATCTTACATGATGGCGTACTATTAGCCATCTTACATGATGGCCTGCGAGGAAAAACGCACGGGCTTGTCGTGGATGGCTTCAGAGAAGAATCAGGTAGAGGGTTTCGTAATGCCTGAGACTCGAAAGAAAGTCGCGCCGACGAAAATCACTTGAATGAAATACCAAGAAAGCTGCGAAGTCAGGACGCCTCGGTATTGAGTAGATCATCTCTTTATGAGAAGAGATGAGGACAATGTGGACACGCACAGGTAAACCTCGGAAACTTTGTTGTTGTCAACCATCGATGGGATGCTAAAGGCAATGCGAGGGATACAAGTCACTGGGCCTTCGGAGTGACCCCTGTGTCCCAATACCAAGTATGGGTCTGAAGATCGCCTCATCGACCCGCTGAATTGGGATACTGGGGAAGCTTCGCGGGGAAGACAATCTATTCATCGGTTTGGTTGCACGATGGGTTGATTCTCTAACCTGTGGAGTTCGATTTGAGGTTTCATCTGGGACTCCTGGTTTCCTGCACCTGGCCCCGATGGATTTGTTTGGGAATTGTGAGCATTTTTGGTTTTGAGACATTCGGAAACAGGCTTGGTAGCTGGCTTGTGACTGTTCATTGTTATGACTGTACTCGGATTTCCCCCGGAAGATATAAACTTCAGACGCTGTCTGGTCGACGTCTCCTTCGCCCGCGTCCATCTCTTTGGAGCTCTATCGTTCACTCACAAACCATCGCTCTTGCATGCTTTTAGCAAGGGCACCATAACCGAGAAGGATGGAGATCAACTTCTCTACACCATGTGCGCGTTCGGAACGAGTTTGGATCACTCTGTTCTGTCAACAGTTGCAAGCTGGAAAGCCCCGAAACTGATATTGATAGAGCAGAAGCCTAGTCCCTGTTAGCAGTCAACAGAGACCAGTGCCTAGCGATCTCAAAGTCGTAGATGCGCGCCGAGGAAGGAATGGTCGGAGCAAGAACGGGAACGGCTTCTGCTAGTCGCTCACATGCCTTCCACTGAGCAACTCAAGGTTTTTTACACTTTGGTCCCGACATCTCATCTTTGTGACGAAATTAATGAATGCAGATTAGGCCACGGCATTGCTTTGCGATCACGGAATGAGAACCGGACAGAGCGCCTTTGTCTTCATCTTACTAGGCTTCATGTACCGATCCATGAGACTTCTCGGCTTGGACGTCGACGTTTCGACACGGCTCAGTCATCCTCCATCGGCTACGAACTTCTTTCAAAGCGAAAGCAGGAGCAGGCTTGTGTGGTATTGTTATGCTGTCGACACCCTAGCTGCATCCGGAGTCGCGGCGAACTCTTCATGGCCCCATAAACCACCTGAAATTCCTCTGCCATGTAACGACAGAGATTTCCTCGCCCGTTGCCCTTCTCGCTCGGAGGTATGCCTAAAGGACCTAGACCAACCCAAGGGGCTTTCTCAAGCTGTTGCTCAACTTGATCTTCCACCCGTATGTCTGGTCCCAATGAACTTGCGGGCCCAAGGTCCCAAGTAAGCCCGAATTCTTTGGATTGGTGTGCGGAATAACCCAACTGAATATCGCTTCGCGATAGACTCACCAGAAGACACTCATCCAACTATTACAACTCGTGGTACCCTTTATCATATTTCTCAATTCTACTGTCTTACTGTCTAAGCTTGACGATTTCTCTCGTTGCATTCCCGAAAGATTCCGGGTCAACGAATTGAATATGTACGTCCACAAAGACCAGGGCATTTTCGCAGCTGTCTCCTTCCTCCACTTCATGCTGCACTCTACCTCCTGCAATTTGGCACGCATATCGTTGTCTGGCTTTACATTCCCGCTGGAAGACGCGTTCCACGATACTCCGTCTTACTTTCGGCTACAGTGTCTACCGCTTTCCCACGCTAATGCCACGAGCGTTTCAAACCTCATTCGACAGGGCTTTTCGCATGATCTCGACGCCTTCGACAATCCGTTTTGTCTTACTTGCTCCTTGGAATCCGTCAAGGTCCAGGTTATTTACCCCGCCACGGTCGATAACAGGGTTGTGTCGCTCGAGAATACGAGACGCAATGCGAGAACGAATCTTGAACTGATGCAACTCCTCGGTGGGGCAGAGCGTGGTCAGAGTCCTTACGTGAGTAATTCTTTTGAATTACGTGTTGCCACTGAGCTCATGTGTTGGTAAGATTCGTCGTGCGATTCCAAGTGCTCTTCAGCTTTCATGGTATTGCCGAGGAATGGCGCGATCCAAAAGAGTGAGTTTTCATCCCTCCTGTCTCTTCTTTTCAGGCCCAAAGCCTGATTCTTTAAGTTATTCTGACAGTTTCATCAACAGACAACTTCCAGATGACCCTTTAGAGGTTGCGGGCCCAGCCAAAACGCAGCACCGGATGAAGTTTGCTTTGTTCCGCTTAGCTAGAAAGGAGGCGCTCGAACGACCGCCTGAAACAGTCTCTAAGACGAGAGAGCCATCGTCTGCCGAGGAACAGTCTGTATCGTCCGACGACCCGTCCCATTCACCGAAGCACACAGGGGCAGTAGGACCTTGCTTTGCTATGAGTATCGTGCCAGGCCAACAGGTTTATTTGCCTGGCTTCCACCATCATTCCAGTAGTGACGGCGACCAACAATACCCCGCTTGAAAAGGGGACTGTATCGTGGGACGGATTCGCCGAACATGGTCTAAGTTCTCGTAGGAATCGATCAGCAGAAACCCATCAGGTACCATTTCAAAGTATCACCTAGAGCGATCGCATCCGGGCCCTTGTATTTCCAACCTCTTCGCCGGGATTCCATCCATGATGATAGAAACGAGTTGGCAAACACTCGAGCACATCGGCGGCAGTAGTTCAGCGGCGCGTTTCTCTATCCGTTGCGATTGTCCGTCACAGAACGACGACAAATCTAACATCAAAGCCCAGAAGCTTCGTTCAAGTTCGAATATTCTATATAATCTCAAGCTGGCCATTGTATTTGCTATAGAGATGACGCTGATGACACTAACCTGGAAAAGGCGGATCGTTTTGAGTAGAGATCCTTGCCGCACATTCAACGCGGCAGAGACTGCGCACGCAATCCTGTTCAAGAAACGTCCTCCGCAGGCATCTGACTGGAGCGCTGCTTATCAGAATCCGTCAAGAAGCTTGACCTAGACTAATAGCGCCTTGTCACATTCTTGGTGGAGGAATAGAGTCACATCTTCGTTAGCGCGACTGAGTCAAGTAGGGCCAGAAATCATGTAAGATGTCGACCGGGCGGTGCTATGGGGTCCTGCGAATGAACGTTTTTGTTAGCTACCAGAGAGTTATATGATGTTGGCAGCCCGCGGCTTGACGAGGCCGTCTCCATAAGTGTAAGCCGCTTCTACAAGCCAGAGTCTGCGCAACTTGACAGACTGCCCTGATCTGTCGATTTTGCACCCTCGGCTGGGTCATTGAAAAGTCGCATTGTTCATCTACATGCAAGCTCGTCATACCAAAAAGACCATGGGCAAAGTTTGTTCCCGCAAGACTCTGACAATCGTTTCATGAAACCAAATCTTTTCCTGGTTCGCGATTCACAACAGCATCGTTTGTCATTTAGCATTCAGTGGCCCGCTGCCATGCGAAAATGCCGCTGAGCTGAGACAACAACAAAGTTGCTGGACATCCTCCGTGCACAGAGACGTCCAAGTTCCGTTCTCGCCAATCCCTCTGCCCACTCAGTACCTTCATCATACCGGACGTTGACCCTATAGTTTCTTGAGACCCTCTCTGCCACACAGATACTTATGGTGCCGACTTGATGCTCTTGAGGCCGGGGTGGAGTTCTTTGGACCACGAGGACAACGTGGCTGACGACTATTAACAGGCCCCACTCTTTGCACAAACTCATCGGATTGCATAAGTCACATCTATTGAATCGTGACTGCCAGGAAATATTGAATGCGCCTGCTGATGCAGCACCGCTTGACGCTCAAATTGTCCCGAGAATCACCACATGCTATCAAGTGATACAGCAATCAAGCAACTGGCTTTGGGGAAGAAGGCAGCGAGGTGGTCAGCCCCGCTAATAAAAGTTTCAATGCACGGGCATGTCCTCCAAAGAGACTTGGAGACACCGCGCAGGTGGCGTGCCTCATTTTAGAAGCTGAGACCAATGAAAAGTGGGTTTCTGTCCCACCCTGGGCTGTGAATGACTCGCGCAACCCCGCATTGAGTGCAGTCCTCTCTTTGACAGTGAAAACCAGCACAGGGATTTTCAGTGGGGCGAGATATGATGGACGTAAACACTGTTATGGGCTCGCCCAGATTGTTCGTCTGTGATCTGGGGACTGGCATCCCGTCAATGTATAGTACGAGTGGCGTTTGGAAATTTGCGGCCTTTACACATAATAATCACCGTAATGATGCGCCCACAGGCGGCAAATTGTGAAAAGAAGGTGAGAAGGGAAGAAGGATCCCCCTAATGAAAGTTCACTTTGCACTAGAGATTAATTTACCTCATCGAAACCTATCTGTAATACGAGAGCTGGTGTGCTGTGATTTGAGCTGGAGATAGACACTTCAGTTGAAGTCTATCGTCCCCCAACTACACTTACAGATGTCTTCGCGAATGAGTATGGTAAAGGCTTTTCAGCTCTATTCACAAATAAATCAGCGAACCGATTCAACATGATAGGTAGACGTAAGATGAATCATTCCATTGATTTGGCCTAATGTGCTGTTGAATAGGTATGCAACAAGCTAGTATCCTACACATCAATCATCTAAGTACATACCCGACCCTCTCACTATCGCCAGTCTCATTATTTTCTCGAAGAAGCACAAGATCAAAAGTTGCATTCTGCTTAGATTGTATGACAATACAGTTACCAACCTCCTACTCCTTGAAGACTGAATTCGACCGCTTCGCGTTCTCTGTCGGGCCAAAAACCAAGCTTAACTTGGATATTGTGGTCTCGAGCTCTGCGATCCGTAAAATTCAAGAGTTCTGAATAGCGGCTGAGTAGCCAAGTGGCCGAGATATAGTCCTATGTCTTCCCTCGCTGATATTGACACGGCGGCTCGGCGGCATCATTGATTGCTGGGCGGAATGATACATGGCATGCGGTAAGCATCTTCGTGGGAATTGGCAAATTAACCAAGCGTCAAAGGCTCTGCGGAGTTATTCAAGAGAGGGGTACTTTGAAAATTGCTGTAAAAGACTGCTATAAATGCAGAATAATATCACCAGCCGGCGGTTTCGTAACTGGCACGTTTGGAGGGAAGCGCAGGTGATGCTGAGGGGATAGTATCCACATGGTTTCTTCAGTGCCCCGGTCGGCTCGCTGATGGACTGATCACAAGCCCTCGAACCTGCCTTGTAATAGACATAAACCCCCAAGCAGCTTGATGACGTGACGCATTTTCCTCTTGTCATCAAGGCGAGAGATATTCCTCGCGCGATGTAGCGTAACTTGCCACAATTCATTGAACCTCGGTAACTCCAAGGAGGTTGTTGCCATGAGAAGCGACTGGCCACGTTTGCGTGCAAGGCCGGCGTCAGAAGCAATTGATCTGTCAGAAAGATGCTAATGGAACAGCACGCCTGTCTTTGTTTCCTCGAGAGAGGCTGGTCAGTGACGTGCGCCAAATTCGTGTGAGCTTCCGGGTCAAGAGGCTGCCAGTCATGATGCCGGTAGACTGAAGTCCAGAAACCGCAATGCGTCGAGTCGGAAGGAGATACCGATATATTGCTAAAAAGAGTGGATGAGCTGGAACAGGGTACGAGTTTAGAAAGATATGTTCAAGCTGGGTGGTACTGAGACTTTGCGCCGACGCTCTCGGATCTGTGCTGAAGCCACAGCTCGGCGGCATGATTCGTGCTGATATTGTAGGGGACCGTGGCCGTGACTAGGAAATGAATACGTAGCAGACAAGATTGTGGCAGCTTTGAGACCGGACGATTGGATCGAGAGTAGATACCGGGACAGTAGACTGAAGCGTGGTCGTGCCAGATGCAAAGTCAACGGAGAAGCTTATGTTGATGCTGGTGGGGCCCGAAGGGAGGTACACTGTAGATATCGAGAGCGGCCCCGCATTGAGATTTCCCCACTAGCACGCTGACCAATATGGGCTTCGAGGACGAAGCCCCTTGCGGAGAGGAATCAACCAGCCTGGCCGTGGTGCCGTGAAAGCCAGCTTCAAAGACCATTTCCATGCTGCAAGGGATCAACTGCGTTCGGTATGGTTCAAGACTCCTCCGTACAGCCCAGACTCGATGGACGGCACAAAAATATGAACCAAATTCGCAGTTGGCTGCTGCAAGCAATCATCTTGTTTGTTTCCATGTGGTTCGCGGCAGGAAAACAGAATCGTGAAGCGTCCGCATCGAGTTCCTCCTTCAAGAGAAGTCAGCACGATGGAGCCACACGAACCAACATCGTTTTCAAATGCAGAACGGACCGGCTTCAGGTCGGGAGAAAATGAATTAAGGGTGGATTGTTGGAATTTGTTAGTGATGAGACCACTTGAGGACGAAGAGCGTGGGCTTTAGTGACCACACTGGAGGAGCTAATGTTGATGACCAGTGTAGCAGAAGGTGGATTAGTGACGGGGACACCACTAAGAGACGAAGAGGCGAAAGAGTCACTTAGATCTGGGGTTTCGGTATCTTCGCGCTGAGAAAACTTGGAAGACCGCTCGGATAGTCAGAACGAAAGCGATGAAGAAAGTGACCGAGGGTCTCGGGGCGATGTTCCTTCCTTGCTGATGTCGATATCAACAAACTCGAACTCTGTGACGAACATCGAGGCCTACGAGAGGTAAGGGATTGGAAATTGATCAAACTGGGGTCGCCATTACTGAGGTCCCATGCAATTCACAGATCGTTGCAATGGGGCAGGGCAAACTTAACCAATGTGCTCTATTGTGAATGAAAGTGCCACAGACTGGCGTACCCTCGCACTTGTCTATAAAAGCTAGCTATAATAAATTCCACTCGCTGGTGAAATAGCATCTTCGAGATTCTATGTCGGGCAATTAATAGGAAGCTATTATGAAGAGCCTGATGCGGGGAGCCAAGCGGAGTGTGGAGAGAACACGTTAGGCCAGGAGATTCCGCTATTGAGGTGATCTCCATATCAATTGGCTTTGATGAAAGCTTTGAATTTGTTAGAGAATCTGGCGCGAGAACCGCTCAGTGACGGCTCCTTGTATTTGAAATTGAATTAAGAACTAGACCTGCTGTAAATATTTAAATATAAGTCTTTTGCTAGAAGGGGAAAGATTTGTAACTCGGAAAAAAGTAATTGAACAAATAAGCAAGCGTAAGCCTTGCATTAAGGCTGGAATGTACTGTGACGAACAACGTTGAATGGCTACTCGATAAGGTCATTT